TTCACCAGCATGTTCACTACACCAGAAAACAAACCAGAAAGTTGAATGAACCTTTAATGTAAAGCAGATTTTAGCAATTTCTTTTTCAGTGGGAGCATCATCTCCTGTTTCTCACTGTTTATAAGTTTGAATTAAACTGATAAATGTTGTTTTTGATAGAAAAATGTATGTAAATTAAACAAAAACTCAGTATTTTAGGGTTTACTTGTTTATTATTGCTCTGAAGAATCTCTAAAATAAAAATGAATCAGCATTTTCAATAAAATCTGTTGTCTTTATTCACTCTATGTAATTAAAGGAAACTTTTTTACCTATGAGTTTAGGAACACAAACTGCAAAGAGTTTCAAATGAAATACTCCAGGCACTTGTTTCTCTCGTCGTCTAGTTCCTGGGTCTCGATCTCAAACTTCTTCATAGCGATGAAGTACTGAACAAACGGTTCTCCCAGGGCGCTGCAGATGACATGATCCTCTGCCAATGCCTCCAGGGCGTTATCAAGCTTCACGGGGATGGCGAATTCTTTCTGCTGACCGGGGGCTTTGTTCAGAAGGTTTTCGATGTTCAGGTTTTTTCTGATACCATCCAGTCCCGCAGCCACTGTAGCAGCCAGTACAATGTAAGGGTTTGCCATAGCGGAGCCTAGCTTGTTGTCGATGTGTGTCTCCCTCCCGCCATGGTATTTGATGTTAAACGAGCTGCTATTGTCGTTACAGCCGCATGTAGCGTACAGCATTTGTTTGGAGTCTTTGATGGTCTTGGCAATATGGCTGCGGCAACCCAGGCCGGGTGACATAAGGCAGCTTAGGGCTGCAGCGTGGGTGAGGAGCCCAGCCAACCATTTCCTTCCGATCTCAGACAGGTCTGCTGCCTTTTCGCCACTCTGGAAGAGGCTGCGTCGCCCATTCGCGTCCCACAGGCTGTGGGAAAGCACACCGGCGTTATACAGACCATCATCGGTGAAAAAACTGGCGATGTAGCTGTGTTTACGAGCCATCTCTTTAATGCCAGTACGGAAGGTAAAGGCACTGTCGGCAGCTGCTATCCCGAACTCTGGCCTCAGATTGATCTCCATCTGACCGGGCCCACTAGCTGAGGAAATACTGTCTATGTCTGCACCCATGCAGTACATGCTGTCCACTAGCTGCTGGAGGAACGGGAGGTCATGGTTGCTAAGCAACGTAGTGGCAGGGAACAGGAGGGTTTTTGGTCCTATTCTGTCAGGGGCTCCCAGAACGCAGCACTCATAGGTGAAGGATGAATGCAGAGAGAACCCTAGGCTTTGGAGCTGACCGAGCAGCTGCTTGGCAATGAGGCGTGGGGAGGTTCGCAGAGGGCTTCCTGTTACAGTGCATGGATCACATATGACCCGTGCTGTCTGCTCAGCCCATGGTAGGACTCTGAATGTTGAGAGGTCTGGGATCAGAAGGACGTCACTGCTAAAACTGGCAGTGCTGGCATGGTCCACTTCATTGCTCTTCGGGCTCAGGGTCAGCTCCAAATAGCTTCTTGGCATCGGTACCCCGTAGACTGCCTTCTCCTGTGACAACAATGTTTCCATGTTTATTTTAAAAAATTAACTTATACTAATACCACTGAACAGAATCTTCAATGACTCTGGCATTGCACACATATAAAATGTATCAATGGAGTTCATTACGTGGAAGAAGCGGACAGGAACCGTCTTAGACCGTGACACCCCATGTAGATCAGTGGCCTCAAATCGGACGAACTTGATGTTTTCTCGGGCAATCTGCTGCTTGATTTGATCCATGGCTGAGAAGAACCTCAGGTTGCCAGAGGACTCAACTTTGTTTTCGTTATCTGTAGAAACAATTTTCTATAACTGTAAAACTGCTGAAACATTTTATCTCCGAGTTCTAGTGTCCAATGAACAACTTTCAGGAAGATACAGTTCTGAACCAGCAATGATGCTGTACCAGCCACAACGGTTCATGAGATCATCTATGACATTGTAATAATAATAATTGATCTTTTTGATCTCACATTGGAGAAATTTACCACTGCATTTAACCCATCCCCTTGGGGAGCAGTGAGCTGCCATCATGGGGCGCCGGGGGAGCAGTGTGGGGTTAAGGGACTTGCTCAGAGAGCCAGAGTGGCAGTCTTTGGGAGTGGTATTCAAACTCACAACCTCAGGATTCCAAGCCCTATGCCCTAACCACTAGGTCGCCACTCCCTTCTGTGTCCCAGAACTTCTATTCTGGGACACTAAAGCATATCTTATCGTATAGAGGCTGAGAAATCAAGGCTTTCCTCGAACAATCAGTCATGAAAACCCCACCACTACCACAACCACCAACACTACCGCTGTATGTGTTGGTCAATCACTTCCTCTAAAGGGTTAAGTTCAAACATTTAAAAAAAAAAGCTTAAATTCTAAAAGGTTTGGTAGGGATAACAATGATTATGCAAAAAGGTTGGAATTATAAAGATGTTGATCTTTTTGCTGAGACTAATTCATGACATCTTTTAACTAAAACTATCATTAATTTTCAAATGTTAACAATCGATACAAAAAGTTAAAATCTTTCAAGTTAAAGATAGATCTAAATGTACTAGAAGGAACTCATCAACTGACAGCTGATGGGCTGCTTCTGTCTAAAGCTTTAATAAAACTAACAAGACTATTCCTTTTTCTTTCAAACTTGCACTATCTACTAATATTTCTACCTACTTGTGTTTTAAGTAGGAGAGTGTCACTGACCTGAATGAGAATCTCCAGTCTCTCCCCAGGAGCTGCCCCCTGAATGTGCATAGATCCTGACCCCTGGCTGCCTATTTGTTTTCGCAGCAGAGCTGAAAGAGCTGGATGAATCCACAGTGGGAGGCCGCTGAATAGGTGTACTTTCTCTGGAGCGCCCCCCCCTTCTGGAAGCGTCGGGCAGAGGTTTGAAGGTGCTGAACGTCCTATGAGGGTTGTCTTCGTCGTCCCGTCTCTCGCATCCTCCGCCACTGCTGCTGCTCCCATGGAGATACGTAAAAGGGCTTCCAGTTTTCCCCTCCTCTTTTCCTCGGATGCTGAGAAAATGACTGTCCTTCAGGATGCTCTTCAGCTCCTCCATGGTTTGTTGATGAACGTCTAGTCCACCAAAGGACAACCTAGTCTGGGATGATTCCTCTCTCATGAAGGGCTCCCCATGGACATGTTGCTCCTCTCTCGGACCCTCAGCTTTATGCAGAGGACCTGCTCCAGTCCCTAAAAGTTGTTCTGGGAGTGTTTCAGTGTGCCTCAGAGATTGTTCAGCAGATGGACCTCCTCCTCTGCAGCTCTGGCCCAACATAGGTACATACTTCTCTGTTACTTTAACACCTTTCTCGTCTTTGCACAGACTCATTCCTGTTCCATCTGTTTGGTCTTTGCTTTTGCTGGTTTCTTCCTGTAGAAAAAAACCTCAAAAATGGTTAAATATTCTTAAATGTGCAACAAGAACTTAAATAAAAGACTTGATGTGTTATTTATCCCTAAGATAAAAATGAAATCTACCTTCCTCACAGCACTGAACCTAATAAAAAACTAAATGTGGATTTTTTACCTTGATGTCTTGAGAGTCATTCATGTCTGTCTTTGTGCTCATAAGCAGGAATTGAGGATTAGATTTGCCCCCTATTGAAGGCAGAGCGTCACCAGCACATTAATTTTTATAGACAATTGGTACAACGGTGACGGATTAGAACATTCTGTCTAACACCAGCCGCCACAGGAGATCAGCTGATAACCAGCATCCGCCAGCCACTGGTAGGGACTGAAACACTGGGGCTTTCAGCCCATTGGCTGCTGTGGAGCACAATAGGTCTCACATTGCAGTGGGAAACTGCAGAGGCCAGCAGCTCTGCATAAGCTTCCAGAAAGGTAGACCAGGATTTTTAAGCCTATTGATCCAGAGGAGGTAAAATACCTCCTGAAGACGAAACAATGGCCGGAGTTAGAAGTACTAGATTGTTTCCATCAAAAGACAAGAGAGAAATTCACTGAGAAATCTTCTCATAAAGAACTTAATGAATTTTTTTTCTAAACTTGCTTGATTTAATTATAAGTTAAAGGTCCTATATCAGGGGTTACCAATTAAAAATCAGCGGGGTCCAAATAAAGAAAATCAACAACCAGTAAATTGTACGTAGAAATTTTAAATTATAATCTGTTACTTTAAAAATAATCCAACTTTTACTTTTTAAATAAAAATATAAAAAAACGAAAATTTTTCCATTTTAAAATCTAAAGCGTTTTTTGAGTAGAGAAGAACAATCGCTCAGTTTGGTATATAGATAATTTCCCGATTCACGTCTTTTGTAAAACACCTAAACTGACCGCTAGTATTTTATTTATTTTTCATGGCTTAATGAGAGCAGTTGGCTTTAGGCTGCCCTGCAAGGCTTTAAACCTGGGTTTGAATGGAGACAAAGCCATTCTAAAGCACATATCAAGGTCCTCATTTTGAATCTGGATCGATATTTATTTTTGATAATGTTTATGTTGGAGAATCCTGCTTCACAGCAGTAGGTTGACCCAAACATACTCTAAATGTGCAGGGTCATCTTTGAGCACGCCATTTCACTTTTCTATCACCAGTTCACCACAGTTCTTCCAGCAGTCCACACTTTTCTATCTCTTTTTCTTCTTCTCCTTCTTTTCCCTTACGCGGCTTGCTACAGGTTTGTCTGCTGTGTCTAAAGGACAATTTATACTTCTGCGACCAAACACATAAAATGTCGCTTAGGTCTGGTCGCGAACCACTTTTGCTGGTATGCTTCTGCACCGTCGGTCTGGAATTTTTAGGAAGCGAGAAAGCGCTAGGGGGAGCCTATTCGCCAGTAGACTTAGACAAGCGCACCCTTTCTTAGGCTGTCGTTCTATTGACTGGAAAGGTCGCTAGGCGACGATCTGATCCAATCTGAGAGAGAGCAAAAAAAAATCTGCAAGCAGATCCTACTAAGACTCAAGCAGAGCCTACGGGTTTGAGAGCGTAACTAAGACTCGAGCAGAGCGCGGTTTGTGCGCGAAGAGAAGGAGGCAAGCGAGAGGAGAAAATATCTGTGCAAGAAGCATTAAATCTGAGAGAAGAAACAAAGATTTGAGAGAGAAGAGAAGATATTTGAGAGAGAGCGCATGTTTTGAGTGTGAGCATTATAAGTTTTGAGTGCAAGAAGATGAAATTCTTTTCTCAAATTGAAATTATGTGCTCTTGCATTATGGCAGGATAATTCTCCCATAACTGGAAACTAAAAAAGAAACTCAAAAGGAAGTCCACAAAGGGCAGAACCAAGACACGTAAAGCTAACACCCAAGCCCATCATTTTGGTCCTTTTTCTCCTGGAAACATTATAAAGATGGTTTATCAACATGCATGACTACTGCATCCTTAAGTGATGTAAGACTTCAGTATCAGGACACATTATAATGTCGGCATATCTATATATAGTCAGAATAAGTAATTACTAGTGGTGGGTGGTGCAGATGGTAACTAGGCCTTCAGTGGACACCCCTCAACTTTATCTACTTTTTATCCCTTGTTCAACATATATACATAGAGAGATGCCTATCTGGGGGCGTGAACAAATCAGTCTTGTGTGCAGGCCTATTGTCAACACTTTGAACGTGGCTTGATAACACAGATGTAGCTATAAAGCTGCCACGTTTGCTTAAGGGTAAATTTATTTTTAAGGGAGCTCATCAGCGTGGTTGAAGATGATGGGCTCAAGTTCGTTCTCCAGGTGGCCACAGGTGCTCATACATGCCCAGCACGCCGCGGAGAAAGCCGCGAAAGATGAGAAGTTGGTTGAGGCGACGTGTTTAGTACTGACAGTGGACCACTGGATATCTGTCAATAATAACTACCTCTGTGTTACTGCACACCTCATCAATGCAAGCTGGGAACTTCACACCTTGGCTTTAGGTAAGCAATGTTTCATTTTTACCATTACACCATGAATGATTACAACTAAATTATTTTTGCTTCTTGATGCTTGCTTGGCTGAATGTGGGTAAAGTGGGACGTTTTATGAAAATGTTGGTTCAGTGGTATTATGTGATGCATTTTGGAAACAGGAAATGAGCCCCTGGTCTAATGCACCATCTGACTAGAGAAACCTGTTCAAAGACTTACTTTCACTTATTATTTAGGTAGCATACACATATCATCCTTGTCATATTTTATTCTTACTCTTATCTTATTTTATTCTTATCCTTATTTGATTCATTTTCTTAGGTTATTTCCCACAAGGGATTATTAAAGTAAATAAAGTAATTCTGATTCTGATTAATAAATCCCTTTGGCAGAATACAAATGACGCATTTCAATCTAGATTCATTCCAAGATTACAAAGAGATTAATCTAGATTTTTTTTTTTTATTTATCTATGCCCACCTCTTTTATATATATATATATATATATATATATATATATATATATATATATATATATATATATATATATATATATATATGTGTAATGAAATTTGATTGGACAAAAAATACAGAGACCACATAAATGTAATGAAAGCAGCTCAGTAATCAAGAGAAACGCTACAAGATTAAGAGAATCAATTGTTTCGAATAAATAAATACAGCTGGAAAGGAGAAAATTAAAGTGTAGGTTGAGAATGTATGTTAGTGTTTCTGATTGATTTTAGGCCAGCAGAGAAGGCTTTGAAGGCCATCACAGCCCACCACTGGTCGTTACTATGCAGTAGGGGTGTCAACAATAATCGATTCAGCGATGCATTGCAATGCGGCNTTTTGAGTAGAGAAGAACAATCGCTCAGTTTGGTATATAGATAATTTCCCGATTCACGTCTTTTGTAAAACACCTAAACTGACCGCTAGTATTTTCTTTATTTGTCATTTGAATGGAGACAAAGTCATTCTCAAGCACATATCAAGGTCCTCATTTTGAATCTGGATCGATATTTATTTTTGATTATGTTTATGTTGGAGAATCCTGCTTCACAGCAGTAGGTTGATAACTTGACAACAGCCAGATGCATGTCTCGCTCCGCCTACTGTAGCTGAGCTGGGCGGAGCGAGACATGCATCTGGCTGTTGTCAGGTTAGTAGGTTGACCCAAACATACTCTAAATGTGCAGGGTCATCTTTGAGCACGCCATTTCACTTTTCTTTCACCAGTTCACCACAGTTCTTCCAGCAGTCCACACTTTACTGCTCTCTTTTTCTTCTTCTCCTTCTTTTCCCTTACGCGGCTTGCTACAGGTTTGCCTGCTGTGTCTAAAGGACAATTTATACTTCTGCAACCAAACTAATCAAATGTCGCTTGGGTCTGGTCGCGAACCAGTTTTGCTGGTATGCTTCTGCACAGTCGGTCTGGAATTTCAAGGGACGCACAGCAGTTTCCCGCCAAAGCAGTAGGGGGAGCCTATTCGAGAACTCGCGAGAACTTTGACGAATCATCATGAGAACTTTAGTGGTGCCGGCGGTAGTGTTTATCTTCCAAAACAACAATGGGGTGTCTGCAGGATATCAGGGTCATTGAGATGTATCTAGAGTTGCTAGAACCTATTCCTCTTCATCGAAGAGGAATAGGTTCTGTTAATGGAGTTGGCAAAAAGGCAAAGGAGAATGTCCATTGTAGTTGTTCCACGTTTTTTAAAAATGGCGCACCCTGGCAAGGAATCAAAAAGGACGACCACACAGATTGCAGGAAAGGAATACCAAGGACCAATCACAGCTGCTTTTTGTCTGCGCACTTCTGCCTGAGGTCTGCACAGGTTTGTGACCGTCCGACACGTAGTCAGGATTTTGTTGTGTGCAACGACGTTTGCAGAACCTCTGCACGGGGGGAGTGGTCACGCACAGAGACAGATTTGACGGTAGGAGATGCTATGCGTCAGAAGCATAAATTGAACTTTAGAATTCTGGAGGACATAGGGACCCCTATTTCATCATTCTGCTTCATTCTCTCTCTATTCTCCCACTCTGCAGAATCTGTCAGTTCAATCTCTAACGTTATGGTCTCCCTGCTTTTTTTCATAGTAGCTTTGCCTTGTCTGTTCCTGTTTGGCTCTGACACCATCCTGGAGTGAATATTCAGCTTATTTATAGATCGAGTTCGAGATTAGCCTGTTTTTCAGTGTAGTCCTGTTTCTCTGACTGTGACTAGCTGTGCTCTCTTCGTCGTCTGACATGGGAGTTGGCTCAGAGCTCGTCTGCCTGGCTGTGTGTTTCCTGGACGGGATTGCCTTTTACAGTTGCTTTTTCTTCTGCTTCAATCTCCTTGAGCCCCAGTTGGCCTCGGCAGATGGCCGTTCCCACTGAGCCTGGTTCTGCTGTAGGGCTCCTCCTGTTAAAAGGGAGTTTTTTCTCTCCACTGTCGCTACTAGCATGCGCAGTGTGAGCGATTGCATTCAAGTCAATGAGTCGATGCGATCAACTGGTTTTCATTAGATAAAAAACTTTGAATCAATTTGACTGTATGATCTGGTTGAACTGTAAAGTGCCTTGAGATGACGTGTTGTGAATTGGGGCTAGATAAATAAGCTGAATTTAATTTAATTAAATTACTCCAGGGCTAAATTAAAACAGCTTTTTTAAAAGCCAATGTAAAACCCCTTAAGAGCATTTTCCCCTTTCATCCTTTGGCTATATTATTTATTCTAGCTGCCAGTTTGATTTAAAAAGCTTGTCTCCACTGCCTCCTTCACTAAATTGTGGTCAGTTCATGATACTTTCTCATATGCTAACTTTTAGATGCCA